CCCCTTTTTTCATTAATTTTTCCCCTCTACCCCCGGACTATCCCTGCCCCGTGTTTTTCGAAAACTACTGATCATCCTCCCCCCTTTCTGGCCATCCAATACCTCGCTTCCTTCCCTCCCCTGCAGCACTGTATAGCCCTTGTGGCTTGCGCTTCTTTTGATTTATAATAATAATAAAAATGTATTGTTTTTTTTTCATTTTTAGAGCATTGTGATAGATAATTAAGCTGTCGAGTTGATTTTGCTCTTATTTAAGTTTTATTTTTTCCCTTCTGAGAGCAGGAATCCCTGGAAGGATTAATGGCTTTTCAGTTAATTTAAATGAGAAACGGGCTGGGCACGAACAAATAGGTACGAACAGGCCGGAACGGATTAAGTTCATAAGCCGGTTTCCACTGCTTTGAAAGTGCTCTTTTAATGATATAAATTTTTGGCAGTTTTTTATTATTTTATATTCCATTTTTTCGTGATTTTTTTTTTTGTATTGTGGTTCTTTATGAGTAACAATTTGTGAAAGGGAATGGTATATAATCCCGACAAGATGAAATTAAGACACATGTGCAACATCTGGGTATCTTTATTGTAGACGTTTCGCCATCCAGTGGCTTTATCAATACAAATTCTAGGACATAACTTGAAGACAGTAGAACTATGTACAGAAGATGAGGTAATCAGTCCCTCAACCTAGGAGTAGGTGCGAAGAGCACCATAGTCGTGGAGATTCTGAAGCAGAAGAAAGGAGCCTTGCGCTTATATAGTAACGTTAGGTGTAGCAGACGAGGGCATAGTCACTGGTAGGCGGGATTCCCCATTGGAAGTAGGTCCATCCCAAAGAGATGGGTTAGTTGTAGTAGTAGTTGTCGTAGGCTACGACAATGTTAATGTTATATAATACAGGTACTCCTCATATAACAACCTACCTGTTTAAAGATCACTCAGACTTATGACCAGCTCTCCAACCAGTCAGTATTGTAAGCTGTACCGGAAGTTTAGTCGTGGAAACGGCAAAGCATCTCTTTATCAAGCATCTCATTTCTCATCGACCCTTAGTCAGTCGGTACTCACTAACTATAGTTAGGGCAAGTCAGTAAGTCACTTAGTCCAGTCAGTAAGTCAAGTCACTATAGTCAGTCAGTTTAGTCCCATCCTGGCAAACTCTACCCCTACTCTTCATAGATCTAAACTTACTCCCTGTTCAGAAATCCACATTTACTACTATGCAATCTGCATCTACAGGACCTTAAATTCCAATATTAACCTTGACCTAAAACCCTTTCTTGATAGTTGTGACAGGACCCACAGGCTAACAAACCCGACACAAACATCTCTATGACATTCCCGTGTCGACTAAACTTCACAAAAATTTAGTGTATGTCAAAGGCCTTAAAATCTGCAACACTCTACCTGAAAACTCTAGAAAACTGCAGACACATTCATCACTTCAAAAACTACCATTAGAAAACATAAGTGTCTCAATTCTTCAACTTGTCGGTTTTCTAAACCATTCATCACAACTGCATGTAGTGACTGGTCTTCAGGAATCAAAGAAGTTAATAATAAACACATAAACTGATATACTGTCCACTGACAGTAGTGTCAGTGTAGGTTACTGAGCAGTGGACGTGGAAAGGAATTTAAGCAGAGGTGGCTCATGTGGGGGTTCTGCAGCACCCCCTATTTTCTTTAACTTTTGGATTATATAATGTACAAGTACAGTGGACCCCCGGTTAACGATTTTAATCCGTGCAAGAGGGCTCATCGTTATGCGAAATAATCGTTATGCGAATTAATTTTCCCCATAAGAAATAATGGAAATAAAATTAATCCGTGCAAGACGCCCAAAAGTATGAAAAAAAATTTTTTTTACCACATGAAATGTTAATTTTAATACACACAAACTGAAAAAGGCATGCACAATACATGACACTACTTTTATTGAAGATCTGGTGGATGATTGATGGGGATGGGAGGAGGGAGCGCATTATCTTTTACTGATTTAGAAGGGAAATCCCCTTCCATTAGGACTGAGGTTAGCAAGCATTTTCTGGTGGTTACTTCCCTTCTTCTTTTTAATGCCTCTAGGACCAGCGTTCAGAGTCACTGGGACCTTCTGTTGCACAACAAATCTGTCCATAGAGCTCTGTACCTCCCGTTTCTTCAGACTTTCCTAAAAATGGGCCATAACATTGTCATTGAAAATAGTTCACAAGCAACGGCTTTTGCAACAGCTGTGTCGGGTGATTTTCATCTATAAAGGTTTTGCAGGTTCAACCACTCTGCACACATTTCCTTAATCTTTGAAGTAGGCACAATGGATTCCACAACTGCATAGGCTTCTCAGGGTTAGCCCCAAACCCTTCAAAATTCTTTTCTTAATTTCCCATACTAATTCTCACCATTTTAACCACAGGGTTGGCACTAGAAAGCTTTCTTGGGCCCATGGCTCACTTATTTTCCAGAAAACACCACCGAAACACTGTAATAATACGAAATATTCCGAGTGTATGCTTGGTTTTTACCGCGGAGGCTGGCTGGTAACAATGGGTACGGCCGGCACACGTGAGGGCACATTGGACGCGTCTCGGACGAAAATCGGTATGCCGGTTTTTAATCGGTATGCGGCGGCAAAAATTTTGGGTGATAAATGTATCGTTATGCGGAAAAAAAATCGATATGCGATTGCCATCGTTATAGCGGGGGGGTCCATGTATAAAGAAAGATTTAAGGAAAAAAAAATAAGACATATTTAATGTTAGCGTAATACTGAGTGAAAAATAGTTGGGTGCTGCAGTTCCACGCACCCTGTATGAGCCGCCAGAATTTAAGCCTGACATTCTGGGTGAATCTTTTCAGTATTAATGTTACAAACCTCGGACTTTTATTCACCTATGCACAACACCACACACACACATCTTTTACTTTCCTTGGTCCAGGGTTTAATGCTTAGTTTGACAATATTATGTATTTACAGGAGGTCCCTGTTTCATAGTGTTATGTTCCTGACCCTTCACTGATAAGTTGATAGTGTGGCGAGTGGAAAAGTGTTTTTTTTCGATATCGAAAGGGTCCGAAATTCGATAACATGTTACACTATTAATACAGTGGACCCGTTTACGTATTCTTTCATTCCAGAAGTATGTTCGGTGCCTCAGATACTGACCAAAATTTGTTCCCATAAGGAATATTGTGAAGTAGATTAGTCCATTTCAGACCCAACTTACAATACAAACACCACTTACATTAAATACACTTACATAATTGGTCGCATTGGGGAGCTGATCGTAAACTGGGGCTCCACTGTATATAAAGTGCTCAGTACAGCTTGGCATAAAAAAATCACATACAAAAGTAAAAATAATCAACAATACATTATAATACTTAAAACATGACAAGGTAATCTTCCCTGACACAAACCCCCCCCCCCCCACCGTTTTGTGCAAAGAAGCAGAAAAGCACCAAACAATAAACTAAGTTGAAAACTGCTGAAAAAGTGAGAACATTAAAGAGGGAGCAGAAAAAACAGGGCTTTCCTAATATTGCTTTCCTTTGTGTGTTTGTAATACATAGTTCTAATCTGTAATATTTCCTTTTCCTACCTAAGAGGCCTGGTCTGTGACGAGCCCAGGGGGAGCCTAGGAGGCCTGGTCTCTGTGATCCGAGCCCAGGGGGAGCCTAGGAGGCCTGGTCTGTGACCGAGCCCAGGGGGAGCCTAGGAGGCATGGTCTGTGACCGAGCCCAGGGGGAGCCTAGGAGGCCTGGTCTGTGACCGAGCCCAGGGGGAGCCTAGGAGGCCTGGTCTGTGACTGAGCCCAGGGGGAGCCTAGGAGGCCTGGTCTGTGACCAAGCCCAGGGGGAGCCTAGGAGGCCTGGTCTGTGACCGAGCCCAGGGGGAGCCTAGGAGGCCTGGTCTGTGGACCGAGCCCAGGGGGAGCCTTAAGAGGCCTGGTCTGTGACTGAGCCGGGGGAAGGCATAGGCCTGGTCTGTGACAAGCCCAGGGGGAGCCTAGGAGGCTTGGTCTGTGAATGAGCTTAGGGGGAGCCTAGAAGGCCTGTTCTGTGGACAAGCCAGAGGGAGCCTAGCAAGGCCTGGTCTGTGACCGAGCAGGGGGAGCATAGGAGGCTGGTCTGTGACCCTGAGCCCAGGGGAGC